GAATAGCTAATAGTGCATTAGGAATGCAAGAGTACTGTTATGATTGATAATATAGTCAAAAGATGGAAAATATGTCCCTAATTAATTTTGAGCGTTTCTTTGTTGAATGAAGGCTAATTTCCTTGATTATTAATGATTATCTCTTATCTATTGAGAGATACAATCTTTACCAATTATATATAAAATCAAGAATGATATGAGAAACTACGGCTCATTTGTCTGGGAATTTTAATAGTATCGTAATGTGTCACAAATTTAAATTTAAAAAAGTAAGCTTAGATTTCTCCAAAAAAAAATTACTTACCTTGTGGAAAAATATTAAATTTCATATTAATAATATCTGTTGAAGAGTAAACATCAAAATTAAACAAACTTTCGGCCCATACTTCCAAATTATTTTTGATAAACTTTGTCTGGAGCTGTATTTCCGAATATGTATCAAAATTTCGAAACCTTACTTTCACATGGATTCACTAATGGTACCACAATATCAATTTCATACGTATTCATCCTTATAAATTAAAAAAAAAAAATTTGTTTTGACAGTAGTTCCCAAATCAGTGCTATGAAGAACCTATGTGAAGTTAGGGACTTTAAAAATTCTTGATGTATTTGTGATTAATTTGATAACTTTGGGGTATATCACTCAACTTAACATAATAAGGTAAGTAATACAATTTTTAGTCGATTAATAAAATAAAATCCTTAATAATTCGATCCGTGTAGATCGAAGATGCCGTATATAATAAATTTGTAGTATTTGGTATTGTATATATAGATAAATTATGATTATCACAAATTTTAGTGCGAAGTGGATAACTTATGGATACAACACTCTGGATGTGATTGACTAATAGTTATTAGTCCAAATTAGTTGTCATCATATAGAACTACTCTTATGATCCAAATCACATAAGTATACTTTTGACAAGTAAAAGTATACTCTTTGCTTGATCAAGTAATATTAGGTGAAATATTAAGATTTTCATATTATATTAAATTAAATAAATTAAATCAAATTACATAAATTCCCACAGCGCATATGATGTATGATTACAGAATCGATGTGCCCAGATTACCAAAACTTATATATACTCCCGCACAATTTTTGATTCAATCGTTTGAATGATGAGTAAGTTGTTTAATCTTTTGTATTTAGTATCAAAATAGGTGTCTAAATTTCTTATATTATAGTTAAAAGAAGTGCATAACTTGTTCCGACAAAATAGGGGATATGAACAAATCGTGATGCGTCTAAAATCCATTTTGTAGATCCCAAAGTATACTTCTGCTGAGTAATTTTTACCTGGTATAAATAAGGTAAGATAATACACTATTATTTATGTATTATTTATTATTTGATTACTAAAACAAGTTTTAGTTTCCATAGTGCATCTGATGTGTTTATTTACAGAATCGATGTACCGAGGTTATCAAAACTTATTTGTTATTATTGTTAGCTTTAATTGGAAAGTAAGTTTTATAATCAAATGAATTTTTTTTTATCCACATAAGTGCCAAATTATCTCAAATTATAGTTGAAAGATGTACTCAACTAGTGATGGCAACAAAAGCGGATGTGAAAAATCCTGCTCCGGCTAAAATCCAATCCAGATTTCCAAAATTATTTGCGTGTTTTGCAACTTTTACTTTCCCTGGATTGGATCAAATGAAAGAAATATTTTATTTTAAATAAATATCAAACAGTTATTGATATACTTAACCAATAGAAAATCAACAATCCCATTTATTTTAATTTAAAAATGAAATTAATAACTTTAATGTGATTCTAATATATTATAATGCACCTTTATTAATTATATCTAAATATTGTATTGTAAAATTGTTAAGTAAAACAATAAACTTATCCATGATTCGATAAATGTTTTCAGTTCAAGGATTCTTTATTTATTTAAGGGAATTGTCGACCAGTGGCGTGTTAACGTAATTGCTGACCAGTGGTGTGTCAAATAAATAAAATTCACAGTAAAAGTAATACGAAATGTATACAATTTTAAAGAATATAAAGATTATAAGTAGTAGGTATTTATTTATAGATTTATAAACAGATGGTTAAAGTATAGAGTTTTTTAAAGTAATATCTTTGTTAGACCAGTGTACCTTTTTCGCTAGTGGCTTCAAATAAAAAATAAAAACAATTAGTTTAATTTGATTTTTACATCTTACATCTAATATAAATCTTTCATTCAACAGAAATTATTAATTTCCTCAAAAAGTACACATATGCCTCCTATGTCTCAAGCCAAACGATATTATTTTATTATTAGTTGTCAAGCAATCGAATTTAAATATATAAAGGACATACGAATTCTGGTTCAGCCTTGCACATAAGGCTGTCTGTATTCAACAAATCTTGTGAATAACACCTCATGGATGCCATATTAACATTTTCTGTAACATGACTTCAGTAAATCGTAGTCTTATATGTGGTGCTCGCACAAATCTGAAAAGGACATTAGAACAGAGGCTGCTGTATAAGACAAATTGGCTTCAATCTTGTTCAAAAGTAACTATTGGTAGTTAAGACAACTCAAGCCTTGAGTTTTTTTTGATCACTTTACAATTATATCTCGTATAAGTAAAGAGTACAATATTTCTAAATATTTTAAAATTGCTCTATCTTTGCAGTTTTATTATCAGAGAAAAAAATCTATTAAGCTTTCTAGTAAATTTGTTATTTAAATAATAAAAGAATTAACAAAAGGCTACTTTAAGAACATTTAATTTTTACTTATCATTTTGTTTAGTATTTTTCACTCTGTTTCCTCTATTCATTCTAGGAACTCATATTTATCATTCCTTTTCGGTTTTTGTGGAAGCATAATAATTGTAATAATCTATTAACTGCTAACGTTTTATGCATAATTTATTAACCACAAAAAATGCGAAAGGGAAGTGAGGAGACACAACAAACAAACAAGTGAACAAGCAAACAAGCAAATGGAATGAGAGAAAAAGTAAAACAGGAATAAACACATTGACCCAATTTCTTACAATGGAGCATTTGAAAATCCTGCAGACATGGCAAAAACTAAAAATGCCACAAGCAATTATGAAGTTACTAACACTCTGCAACCCCAACATGATAATGGGTGTATTAGAGCAAAGATGCGACACCAGGATAAGAGTGAACTTAACACCGAGACCATCACAATGAAGTGGAATATTTAACTTTGGAAATTACAGGCAAGACAAAGTCATGTAGCCAAGTGAGATATGGAATAGGAGTATGAAAGCATGAAAATTGTTGGGGCGGCACACATTCCTGTACGCCCATGAACTGACAGATAGACAGGCGGAGAGACAGACAGACAAACTCGTTAATTTAATATACAAAATATTTATAAGCAAATTGCAAATAAGAAAATAAATGATATGAAACAATTTTTGTATTTAAAATTTTGACAATGATTTTTTTCAATCTCTTTCAATCCCTTAAATCCATTGAATTGAACAAAAGATACTGAAGAAAGATACTCGCTGATATCACAAGGAAGTTTCCTTAGCATAAAAATTGGGTTAAGTTAACTTTCTGACTATTATTATTTTTTTTTTAATATTTTGAAATAATACAACACAGAAGACAGAAGACAGAAAACAGGGAAAGTGAAATCCTTAATGTAGCGCGACATTCGCTTTCTTTTTGCCCGTGACTCTTTCCTGGGCTTTGTTATTTCATTTTTTATTTTTCCTTTTTGCCACCGTGACAGAAACTACTTTATACTGCTTAAGGCTGCATTTATAAAGGACTACACGCTTACGTACCAACATACCGACATACATTGCAAACATACCTAAACGTAGCCGAAAGCGGTAGTTCTGAAAGATTATTTATATCATGCGATAATTTTATATACTTTTTTTACAAAGGATGTGCTTACGCAGCATAAAACATAAAAAATTATTAAGCACAGACGTTCTCATACCGCAGATCCGTTTCTCCTACCAGTGAAAAACAACAGCGACACCGAAGACAAGGACAATAAAAAGGTGAAAGTTAGACAGGAATTCAAGCGTAACAAATGAGTTGTCTCCGGAGTGAACCGCTCCAGCGAAGGCAATAGCTGCTGCAGGAGCGGACCAGAACTCGATGCGCAGCGATGCTAAACTTTGTGTGAGTTAAGTTAATCGCGCGAAAACTTATGATGATGTTAGCATTAATTCACCGCAAAAGTTCAGCAGATGCATAACAATTTCCTTTATTCAATTTTTGAGGAACTGTTCTCTTGTTTTTCTCGAAAAATGGCAAGGACAATTTATTAAATTAGTGACGATAATTTTTCATTTCTTACTTTTAAACACAAAATATTTTTGCAATATATAAGCGGTTTTGTTGTTTATTTTAGAGGATTTCTGTTATTTACTGCATATGCAAAAAATATTTCAATACTAAGAACCTTAAAATGATTTTGAGTTATATTTTCAATTTTTAAAATTATTTATTATAATGAAAAAAAATAAAACGTTTTGCTGAAAAGATTCTTAGCGAACATAGAACTATCTGGACTATCTATATCTATATCTATATATATCTATATCTATAGAACTATCTATATCTATCTGGTAAAAACATTCCAATAAGAAAAAGCAAAATCTTAAATTTTAGCAGTGAAAATAATACTATGAGACACACATGAATTTCGAAAAAATCTTAATTTCAACTTTGTTTCAGTGGAATTAAGTTATTTTCTCCACACAAAATTCAGTTTTAAAGTTAGAACGAAATTAAGGAAACGTTGAAACAAAGACTGAAATTAAAGGATATTTCAAATGCAACTCTGTGTAAGATAAATTTTTAGCAAAAGATAAAGGTTTTGTAAAGTGACTTATTTATTAAAAATAGTTACCTTTGATTTTTATTAAATAATATACAAGTATAATTAAAATAAGTTTTTATTTATATTATTTGACATTTTCGTTCACTTCACATATTTTGGCATTTTCATCAAAATTTCCGTAATTAAATAAGTACCTTACAAAATTTAAATATAAAACAAGAACCAGAAGGATATAGGTTAAGGTCCTTCTATAATACATTTACAATATAACAGAATATAGTGAACTCAATTTATACTAAATTACAGATAGCAAATATGAATACAAAATAGCACCCACAAAATACGTATATTTCTTAATGGATTTAAGAGATTTTTGAATGATCAAGATGAGTTTTGGTGAGTTTTTCTGAAATTTTAAATTTTATGAAAAATAATGTCATCTATATATATTAGGCGATCTTTGCGAAAACTCTAACGATCACGTGTAATGCATAATTACTTCGACTCTAATGAAATTAAACAAGTTATGGACTTCATGTATTCTTGAATGAAATGAAAAAATCAATTAAAAAAATTAGATAAAATAGACCTTAGATCAAAAGTAAATTATAAAATATCTCTATTAATATATCTTATTAATCGTTTAAATTTTAGCATGAAGAAGACAATAACTTGCGTTATAAACACTCTGGACGTGAAATAAACCTAACTATGTCTAAAAACCAGTTTGAGATGTCATCATGTAAGATTGCACTTAAGATCTGATTTAACTATGTATCTTTGATATCCAATCCTCTATTCTATTGTGAAGGACCATTGGAACCGAACAATTCTGACATGAAAATTAATTGATTTTTTTTGATTATTGAACATAAGAGATGAGAAGAGTCGCATCTCACCATGATGAACACCAAATTGAACCCTTTTTCGTCATAATTTTAATAAAAAATTAATGGACGAAATTAAATGTGATTTTTATTGCTTTATAATTATTTCACATATATTTTTGTAAGTGAATTTGAATTGTGAATCATGATTTAATGGAGTTGGTAATAGCACTAATATTAAGACTAAGTAGAGGAGTTTTAGGTCAAATCTAGCAGTTTATATCGCCTTTATTGTAACATATAACTTTTATTTTGTTTCTAGTAAGACATCGACAAATCTTTCTGCCGATGCTAGAATTCTTTTAAGTTTGGAAACGAACATCTATTATGCTATTTAGTTCAGTCGCTCTAACCTTTAGTAACTTGATACTGATTTCAATAGAAATATATCTTTTGATATTATTATTACTTTACACTTTTAATAACAATAATGATATATACTCGTACTTAAGTCTATCAGTAGCTAAGCTAACACATCATCATCATATCCACCTTATCGATGCCTTTCTACTATAGTAGCCAACCACTCATAGAAACTATTGCGTAGTTTGATGAAATTTTTATTAGTCGTTTCAATTTATAATATTAATAAAAATATTGTCCTTGTAAAGTGCACTTAATATTTCAACAATTCAGTTGTTAAGTATCTTGTTGTACTACTTAGTATTTTTAGTCTTAAACCAAACCTCGACACAATGTTCCAGCCATTAAGCATATTTTGAGAAGGTAAGAAATGAGAATGTAATTCATGAGGTCAGTTGCCTTTTAACTGTTTACGTTGTTTATGTTGAAATGTTGAGAATGGCTTCCAAAAAAATAAATATCCTTGTGACATTTATGCGCAACGTAAATCACAACAGCTGCCAACAACAGAGCTTACAACTACAGGAACAGGCACAGGCACGAGCACGGGCATGAGGTAATGCGAGTACAAAATCATTATGTTAATTGAAATGGTGGCCTTTTTAACAGAAAGTCAGCAAGATAGCAAAAGTTGCCACTTAGTCTCATATACATAAAAATAATCGATTGAAATGATCTAAATTATTTTATAAAAAACCAAACAACACATATTAATAAGTATTGAGAATAAGATACGTGTGTGTTTATCATTTTGGAACTTTAAGAAAAATTCGGATATTGGCAACCATAATCCCACATTCCCATATTCCTAACATAATGAGCAGGCAGTAAGGAGCATGATTTGTGCTCTGCTAACATCGACATTAGTAGTCATCACTTTAATTACCAGGAGTGTTTAAATAAGCATAACTGCTCAACCATGTGACAATATAACGGAGGCAGGCATTGTTATTGCAGTCGGCAGTTGAGCCTATTATGACAACATTTTCATTGTTATTCCTGCTCCTGTAAGTTGTCGACAAGCAGAGCAACAAATATTTACAGAGATCTTGATTGTAGCAGCAAATAATAAAACAAATTAAAGTAACAAATTGAAGGAATACAAAGGCGGAAAGTGCCGAATAAATGTTCAGGGTATCAAGGAACCTGCTTAGTGTCAAAGGCCAATGACCTTAAAAGCACTTAAGCGTAATCTAATGAAATAATTAATAAAAATACTTAATAGAGGAAATTTTTGTAAGGCCACATTTAGGAACTTTTAAATCAATTTAATTAAGTTTCATTGAAATAAAAAAATTTACCGATAAAAATTGTTTATGGTTATTTCTAAATATTTTAAGTATAAATTTTAATTTTAAAAGCTTTGGCGGAAACGGTAATGAGAAATACACAGAATTTTAATTGAAAATTCCATTGAAATAAATCCTGCAAAATTTCAGCTACAAAGCGCTAAATATTAAAAATTCAATAGGTGCCTGCATGAAATTAAAACGCTTTTAAATGAGTTAATAATGCGCATTTGCCAGCCTTGAAAGGCGATTATCATCATTAAAAGTTGAGAAGTTTTTAAAATTTAATTCCTGCATCATTTGGTGTACACTTTTGCTGTGACTACTGCATTGTAGGTGAGCGGTTGTTGACCGCGAAAACCACAAGGACCGCTAACCGCAAGCCACCAGCCGCAAACCATTGCTGCCACAACTGCAACGCGGTCAGTTTTCATTCCTTTCACAGCAGCATTCACTAAATTACCCGAGTAAGTCATAGCGTGCACTTTTGTTTATAGAACGTGGCATCATTGCAGTTGCTGTTTTTCCCATTTGCGGCATGTTGAGTGGCAACATATTTTTATGGCTCGTGCTGTTTCGTTTAGAGCTGAGAAAAAATTGAAGGAAAAACACTTGTCACTTGGCTGCTGTGGTTGGCTTCGTTGCAACTTTTATTCAATTTGGTTGCACAAAGTGTTAACTGGGATCCTGCGATATCCTTGCGAAATTGAAAATGTGATTAAATTCTTGATTTCTCAAATTGAAATTCGTGTTCACACTTCATTGAAATAAGTGAAAATAATTTTCAGATATTAATGTTATTAAATATAAATTGAAATGGTATTTGATCTAAGTGAAGCAATTTATTTTAGCGAAGCATTTTTCATAGTTTTATTTATGACGTTTCTAGTAAACTTCTTATACTGAAAAGAGAGGACTTCTGTTCGGGTACTGTAGACTGAGAGACCGTCTCAATAAAATAGGGTTTTCAGAGACCAGATGTTGAAACATCTGTTTCTGTAAGAGTATTGTCGGCTCCGGGACTGTCTCAACAAAATTGGCATTTCTAAGACTAGATGTTAACACGACTAAGCAAAATCTCTCTGGCTTCCTCTGAACTGACTAGCAATAGTATTAACATATATATCTGGGGGAAAAAACTTGTTATTCCTCATAATATGTATATGAAACAATATATAATCTTTGAAGATGCTCAAGTTAATCAGAAGCCTACTGATCGATGAAAAGAGCTGATGTTAGCACCAAAGACCATTTGAGTCGCGGTGCACAATATTCCCCATTCAATTATGTTAATAATAATAATATATATGTGTGTTTATCAGATGTACATATTTTATGTGATAAAGTTTGTTGCAGTTAATTCACAGATTCTGATTTAATATTACTATAAATCTTAATCTTTTTATTACAAAAAAATCTTCGGTTAGGTGAGGAGGAGAGATTGTGTGCTGAAACAGCTGTCAGCACTTCATGTGTTCTGAAATCCAGCTTATGAGTGTGTTGATGATATTTCATATTTATTAGTAAGACATGACATTTGTTCGCAATCCCCGATTTCACACTTTCGGAGAATTTTTAGAATTTTTACCTAAGTAATGAGTTCAGTATATAGTTATTAAATTCGAATATTCTTAAAAATAATCTTTTAAATTATATCTTTAATTACATTTTCATATTCGTTTAATTTATTCAGCCTTTATAATAAATTTTTTGAATCAAAAATTATACATGCGATTATTTTCATAACTGCTTGACTGCCTAAAAAGATTTAAATATACTAAAGATGAATTACTATACTATATTATAAATATATTGTATACAGTACATTGTATGAACCTGCCTGCTTTTACGATTGCACATTTCTCTGCCCGGAAAGCGTAGTTGGTGACAGGAAATCAGTATAACAGCCATATCTGCAAATATTCCAAGTGGATACTCACTCGCTTTCCACTCTTCACTCATCAGTATCGGAAGTAACTCCAGAATTAGCTGCTACAGATCCCGGGTTTACCCTAGATCACTAGTAGGGTAGGGTAGATTGTGTTCAAAGTCTGAATAATGGCCTATTCCGATACCACACTGGTGGTGGAAAGAGTAGAGTGTGGAAAAAAAGTCTTACTACAGAATACGTTTTAGCAGAGACCTTATTTTCCAACTTTCGTTATTAAATTAAATTAAAAAATCAACTTCGTGTTAAAAAAATGTTCAATCTATAAAAGAAACTCAGTCCAGTACCAGTATTCCAACTTATTCGGAACTACTAAGCTATTAAATATTTGTTTATTTACTTTTTCAGCTAACAACGGCTATAAACTTTGACCTTTCTTACTAGATTATTTTAATAATTATACTATAGTAGTATTTAGTAACTAAGTTTGTTTCAAAATATGACAATTTCATTTCCTGTTATTGCATCAGCACAGCTCATGCCAAAAGTAATTAAGCACGCATCACTTGCAGTTGAGCATAGCTGAAAATTGGGTCAATTCATAGTTGCAATAAAAATGCAATACAATCAAACTAAAAGCTCATAAGTCCTGTAAACAAAGAAGTCAAGGATTTCAATATAATAAAAAATAAATGTATGTACAAATGCATTTAAAAATACATTTTTTTTCTGCTCTTTTCCGAAATGCCCGTATACATTTTTATAAAAATATACAAAACTTATAGATATTAAAAGAGTATAAACACAGTGCACAGTACGTGATGTTATTGCCAAGTTTTAAATTGCATGAAATGCCGAGCTGTGCCTTTTCAGCGCTACTGTCAAATTACTCGTTCTTGGCAATTATTGTTATTATTGTATCTCTTACAAAAGTTGGTTATTAATTTTTAGTTCAAATATTTTTGCAAGTTTTTTGTTTCATTTTACACATATATATTTTTTTAAATTAAACATTTTTGATGAAATTTCGGCTTAACATTATCTTTATCCGCAGTAGCCTTCAACGCAAAGAGAATTAATTCGCTTAAAAAAAACTATTTCGAAATAGTTAAGAAACTGCAAAGTAATTTTCAAAATTATAATACTATCTTTTATGTATTCTTTGGTTGTGCTTTTGGTGAACATGATATTTCCAAGAGATATCTCCAACTTTATGGTTTTAATCATAATGTTGTATGTAGACTTCACACTACTATAACATCGCGAAGAAGACATCATTATCCATATAAAAAACAACTGTTCTTTATTAACGTGAAAATAGATTTCGACTTAAAGATGTTAATCTATCGAAACTAATTATATTTGTTGAGGTGTCTTGGGGGAATTATTAATTCAGTAGAAGTAATCCACCGCTTATTATTAGCAATGAAAGAGCATCTTCAGATCAGGCACCTCAACTAACTCTCCAAGACATATGGGCTGAATATCTTTCTAACTTTAATAAAACAAACTGACATACTTTTATT